AACAAAAGGGAGATCTCTGGTGAAAACTCTGCTCAGATATCTCTCATTTCATTTGAAGCCATCAAGAGCACAGCTCCTCATTGAAACAGTCTGTGGGTCACAGAGAAAGTGGAGAGAAACAAAATGAGAAATTGCACAGAAAATGCCCTTGCATTGTGCACAATATTATAAAAGTAAAAGAGTGAAAAATGAAATCAACAAGAACTAGCAAAGATTACTTAAATTACAAGTGATTCAGAGTTTAATATTTGCAAAACCATCTATTAATCAGTGTCCACACTGCAGCCTTGAGCTCCTGGTTCCTCAGGCTGTAGATGAGGGGGTTCAGGGCTGGAGGCACCACTGAGTACAGAACTGACAGGGCCAGATCCAGCAACAGGGAGGAGATGGAGGGGGGCTTTAGGTGGGCAAAGGCTGCAGTGCTGAGAAACAGGGAGACCACGGCCAGGTGAGGGAGGCAGGTGGAAAAGGCTTTGTGCCTTCCCTGCTCAGAGGGGATCCTCAGCACAGCCCTGAAGATCTGTACATAGGAGAAAACCATGAACAGAAAACAACCAAAAGCTACACACGTGCTAACCACAAGGAGCCCAAGTTCCCTGAGCTTGGAGTGTGAGCAGGAGAGCTTGAGGATTGGGGGATTTCACAGAAGAACTGGCCCAGGGCATTGCCATGGCACAGGGGCAGGGAAAATATATTGGCTGTGTTCAACAGAGCATGGAGAAAGCCACTGGCCCAGGCAGCTGCAGCCATGTGGGCGCAAGCTCTGCTGCCCAGGAGGGTCCCGTAGTGCAGGGGTTTGCAGATGGACACGTAGCGGTCGTAGCACATGACGGTCAGGAGAGAAAGCTCTGTTCCAATGAAGAAGAGAAACAGAAACAGTTGTGCAGCACAACTTTTGTAGGAGATGGTGCTGGTCTGCCAGAGGGAATTGTGCATGGCTTTGGGGACAGTGGTACAGATGGAGCCCAGGTCAGTGAGGGCCAGGTTGAGCAGGAAGAAGAACATGGGCGTGTGCAGGTGGTGGCCGCAGGCTACGGCG